GGAAAAGCTTAATCAGTAGTTAATTGCAAAGATCCTGCCTGGCTGAAAGAACAAACCAGAACATTTTCAGCAGGAGAATATGGAGCTTATAATATATATATTAACATTAATATAAGTGCTGAGAAATTTGTAGTACTTACACACACATCTTTGCATGCTCATTTCATAATCCCTTACTACCTCCTTTAAAAGGTCTTCAGTGAGCAGCTCTCTATCTCTGCCCTCCATAAGCGACTGTGGCACCATGGTGAGCATGGACCTCAGCCACTGCTGTTGGATGGGAACCACTGGATTACTCTGCACACATTTCTTCAAAAAGAGGTATTCTGCCTGAAAGGACAAGATTTTCACAGGTCTAATAACTACCTATGAATGTATTTCTGTGTTAGGCTTGGCAAAAGTCTCTTTTTATTCAAAATTCCTTAATTTCAATTTTTTTTATTTGTTAAGGGCAGGGTATTTAATCTAATCTTTTCAGTATTCACTGACTAATACCCTAAAAGCTGTTCTGTGGTTGGTAACATGGTGTCTCTGTCTTAATGTTTAAACATAAAATATTGTACTTGTCAGTATGGCATTTTCCTTGGTTCTCTGCTGAAGTTTATGGCTAACAGTAAAATAGTTGAAGGTCAAGGTTATTGTTGTCTGGACAAACATTTGTCTGACAAAAAGTGTGGACAAACATTCTCCATAAAGGGAGGAAGTCTTGGCCAAAGAAATAGGTATTTCTGGCTTTGATTGACAGTGTTGTTATAAAATCTCTACAGTCTACAGAATGAGTCTACCTAACAACAGCTAATTGGTGTTACCTTAGGCTAATTAATATAAATATTTCAATACTAATTTGAGTTTTAACTGTCTCTCAGAGATGAAGTCTTACTTTAAAAGCTATACACAAATTTGAAGTTTAGTTCTTCAAATTAAGGGAACAACATGAAAGACTACTTTTTGTACAGGCTAGGGTACAATCTATGACTCAACTGAAAAAATCCTAAGGCCTGTTAGGATTTTTTTTCCTAAGTAATGAACTTTAATTAAGGTTAAATTAATTATTGATAGATGCATTTTCTAAAACAGAAAAATACTTTCCCTCTACAGGACTAAAAGAAAATATTCCTATTTTGCTCCTATTCCATTTTCCCCCACCAAGACTACTTTTTCTTCTTTGATAATAATTCCGCATAACAGACTCAAGAATAGGGGCCATTCACTCTTCTACTCCAAAAAAACTCAAATGAAAGAATTTAACTCACTCTTTTTTGGCTTTCTTCATCATCCATCTGTATAAAAAGAAACAGAAAATTATACATGAAGAACATAAAAAAAAATACTGGAAATATAAAATTCAGCAAATATTACTCCTAAACCGAGACTTTGTTCTGTAGATACACAGGTAAACATTTCAATTGGATTGCCTGAATATATAAATACATTTATGAATTACTGAGGAGCAAAACAATTATATTGAAATAAATTCTAAGAAGGAAAAGAAATGTCCAAATAAACAAAGAACTAAATATGCAAGACTTAATAAAGAAATACTTTCTCACTTTCTTCCTAGTGGAAGGCAGTTCTGTGATAGAAGGTGCAGCATCTCTCTGATCTGTTTCATCCATGGTTATGTAATAGACTTTGAGAGCTCGATCAATTCTAAAGTAAACCACAACATCAGAAGTGCAGAAAAACTGCAAATAATATATTAAAAATAATGCTAACACTTTAATTGATGCAACCTATTTTTTCATCATTACTAACTCCTTAATCACTAAATCTCACTATAATTAAACAAACACCATTATTTGTCAAATGTCTAATGTGTAATGTTTCTTTTGCTTGAATTTCAACATGTCTTGAATTACATGAAACTCACAGTAACTGATTAATCATCTCTTGCTGCGCCTTGTCTCTGTGGTATGTCAATAGTTTCCTCTGTGATGGTGAAGTTTTGGATATGACTGGTAGAGGTAAAGTAGCTGGACGAAACAAAGTTCTCAAAGTCCGTTTATTGGAAGTTGCTTCATCTGAGTGCTCCATCTAAAACCATAACAAAACTAAAATTCTAGCATACAATCCTGTCCAGAAAGGAGTTTAACACATGCATCTATTAAGTTGAATGTACATAAGGCTTAAAATGAGGATAAAGCTCAAGGGAAAGCATGTACATACAGAGCCTGCCATAAGGGAGAAAAAAAAGAAAGAAAGAAAAAAGAAAAAGGAAGAAAAAAAAAAACCAACAAATTTGTATTTTGCGACTGGGCTAAGGTTCAACTCAAAGACCAACCTTCTATAGCGGCTTAGTCGCCTGAGCAGGGCTATTCCGAAGACTGGCGGTCGGGTTCCCCCAGAAACACGATGGACAAACTCACCACTGCATTTCTACAGCGGAGCAGAAAGCCAAAGCTATATCCTAAACCAGTGCTAAGTCCTAAACACGCACCAAACCAGGCGGTGGTGGATGCACCTAAGGACACAAAGCTCAGCTCCGGAGGGCCGGGACAACACCGCCTTTTCCCGTCGCTCCCACCTCTCCCAGCGCCGCGGCCCCGGCTCGGGACAACAGCGCGGTTGCCCCGGAGCCGAGGGCGGGCGGCGGGGCCCGGCCCATGCGGGGTGCTCGGGGCTCCCCCTGGCCGAGATCAGGGCCTCTCACGAGGAGAGGAAAGAGAAAGAGAAAGAGAATAAACCTTCCCTTGACCGTCCCGGTCTGCCGCAGGGCTGGCACAACCCGAGTGAATCAGAAAGTCCTCCTGTTCCAGCCTCTGCCCGCACCGAGCAGATCACAGTGAGAATGTTTGAGAAATTATAAATATAATACCCTCGAGCATCAGGTGGCTGTTGCTGAGCTTCTGCTTCTTGTACAACTATAAATGGAAATTTTAAAGACCTCCACAGATTTGCTACCCACCTACCCACACCTGACAAAAGAGGCTTTCAAGCCCTAATTTTGTATGTGTGGGCAGGGCCCCACGCGCAGAGGGTGTGGGAGCAGCGGGAGGGAATTCTGTGTGTTTTCCAAAGTCCTGGGCACCTTCCTAGCGTGGCTCTCACTGCCCGCGACTATTCTTCGTGAGGTCTCAACCCAGACATGAAATGTTTTCTCACAAACACAAACCCAAACCCTTGGCTTAAAGGATTTATGTAAAGGCAATTAGCATCGGGGCGTTACGAGGAAGACCCGCCCACGCCTCGAACACCTGTTGGCCAGGAAGCTGCGCTGAGGAGCGGGGGTTTCGCCGTTGAGGGAACAGAACCCGCTGGTTCTCCGGTCGGCCTGACACAGGCCGTGCCGACCGGTTAACGGTGGGGCGCGGGGAGCGGGGCGAGGGGCGCGGACAGCCCGCAGCGGGGCACGGGCCA